CTGGCTTTGTTCCCGTACACACATACACACCCTCTGCCTCCTGCTCCTGGCTGCCCCTTGCAGGATGAAACACTGCCAGTCTGCAAGGGGAAACCTGCTGTTTCCTACAGATCCCTGCACAATACTGCAAATCTGGGACAAATGCTGTCCCTCAGTCATGCAGCCTGGGACCAGGACTTGAGGTTCCCATTCCTGGACTGTCCCGCCCAATTAGGGATGGGTGGTCACCCCCGGCTCACCAAAACTCCCTAGTGGCTCTGCCCCACGCCCTGGCCCTGCACTGTCATGGTGTTCGCAGCCTCAGGGTCTCCATGGATACCAGTCTGGGACCTGCGCAGGGTGGGAGGATGGGATAGGGTTGTGAGACAGGCGAGGAGTGGCATGGGGGAGCAGGACAGGTGGCTGGGGCCAGGGCCAGGGCAAGGATTGTGGAGTGGTGACAGTGAAGGGCTGGGGCCCAGGCCAGAGCCACAATCTGCTCTCAGCACGCATACACTTGTCTGCAGAACTAGCATCTATCACAGGGACCTACAGGGAGTGGATCTTGGCTCTGTCCCCAGTCCTGGCTCCATGCTGTCCCTGCCCCATGATACCAGTCCCAATCCCAGCCCTGGCCCTGGCCTTGCCTGCCCCTCCCACTCTGTGATATTGCTTCCCACCAACCTGTGGCGCCATCCTATCCACCTGGCTGAGCGCATACTGCCTGTACAGGTCCCAGGCTGGTCTCCATGGTGACCCAATCCACCCGCTTCATCTGGTGCCCCCAGCAATGGGAGCAGGGCAGGCAGGCTGGGGTGCCTGGGCAGTGGGAGCCAGTGCTGCTGCCAGGGCTGCTGGGAAGCAGGGTTTGGACACTGTACTGTTCCAGCACTACTGCACACCCAGAGGCAGCAAGACCAATTGCATGCACAGGACCTCTGCATCTGGCCAGGAACCCACCACAGGCGGGATGAAATCCTTTAGCGGGCTGGATCCAGCCTGTGGGCCATATTTTGCCCACCCCTGTCTTATCAGCATCTCTGAGTTATGCAAAGAAAAATAAAGGCTTATAGATCAGCAATGGAGTTGTTAAAATTAGTATAGTTAATAGTCTCTAGCATGTGAAATATTCATTGCAGCTAGTACAGTTGTTGTCCTGGTGCTTTGGGTCCCTGGTTGGCACCTAGCTCAATTAACATGGTGCTAGCTGTTTCTGCTGCCTGGTAGTTCTGATGCATGCAGACAGTTCATTGATAATACTCCAATGGAGCCTTGTGGCTTTAGTTCTATTTTTCATAGCTGTGATCATTATCTTCTACTCTTAGACATCCTGTCCCTTTTCCATAATGGGGTGGTGCTGAGTAACCTCAGCTAAGGTTGCAGCCCTCTGCTAGAGGAGTCAGAAAGAAAAGGGCAGGAGGAAGGGGGAGCATCAAATTCAGTTAAACCCAATTATAAATTTCCACCAGCTGTGCTGACTTTCCGGTCCTCTCAGGTAGAAACACCAACGGGTGGTGGCCAGAAACTGTCAAGTTCAGAGAACTTGAAAAAGGTTCAGAGAAAAGTTCCAGCATTGAGGATGCTCTGAACCAATGGACCCTACAAAACTAGGCCAATTTGTGGTGTTGATTATTATTAGGATTATAGGCTTCACTCATGGACCAGTCCCCTGTTGTGCTAGGTGGTGCTGTAGAAGCACAGAACAGAAAGGTGATCCCTTCCCCAAAGAGCTTGCAGACCAACTCTGAAGGCATGTTGGGACCATGTGGCTGGAATCAGGGATTTTAGGAGCGAGTAACCCTGGCATTTAAGCCTGACATCTCTACAAAGGGGAGGAAAGGGATTGCAGGCTACCAAAATCCTTCTTGGAAGTCACTTAGTGGTGAGGAAGTGGGGAATCCTGGCCTGTTTGGAAAAACCACATTGAGGAAAATTAACTGCAGCCTTATGGATAGAAGAAAAAGCTGGGAGGATGAAGCAAGGTGCAACTATGGTGTCTGTCTCCATCTTCTGTGAGCCTTTTGCCAGCTGTCTGGCCTTCTTCCTTGGGCACTGTGCTAGCCAGCAGAGCAGGCAGGAGAACGTGTTGTTCATGATCTCTGGTGTTCCTAGGTGTTCAAGGCAAGAGGCAGTCCCCTTTCTTCACAGGCTTCACGGAGTATGTTCCATCTCTTCTCTCACTGTTGGGGATGGCTGCAGACGCTGCAGGAGCCAGTCAGGTAAATCATGAGGACTCAGTTGCTCTGTGACATTTTGTGTGGTAACTGGCATCAACCTTGTGTTGGAAGTTAAGTGGTGAGTACTTGTGGAGGAAGTGATAGGATCTTGGCTCCTTTGGGTGTTTTAATGACAGGGATTGCTTTGCATCCTTCACCTTGAGGAACTGTACCCTGTTGCTCACCCTGTGCAACTCTCCTTCTACTGTCTAATGCCTGAGAGAAAGCACCATTTATTTCTCCAGCTTATAAGACTGGCTGTGTTGTCCCAGAGTGAATAAACAGCACTGTGTGACATCCCATGGTGGTGTTTCCAAGCCTTTTATTTTAGTCATCAATACAGTGATGCAATATTATAGACAGTAATTATTAAATGCTCATTTCAATGGGGAATATTTTCAAAGGTTCCATCTGGTACCTGCCCTGGGAGGGAAGGAAGGCTTGCCCTCTGTGGCAGATCCTCTGGTAGAGTTTGGCAGAGCCCAGAAATTCCATTACACAAAGGGCCTCCAGTTCTTAGTACCTGTCTTGGTTTCCAGTCAGAAGGCAATCTAAACATTTAGAAATTCTCCTTGAAGGAAAAAAAATATTTGAATTGATGAAAACCTTTTAATTGGACAAAACCCAAAATATTTGAATACTTGGACATTTGTTCCTCCTTCTTTATTAGCATTATTATCTATTGTATTATAATATCGCAATCATACTAGTGTATAATTTATACTTACATAATAATATATTAGATAATAGTCCAAATGAAAAGGAATTTCTAAGCAAAACCTTGAAATTCTTCATTCTGAAAATACCAAAGCAGGTTTTCCTCCCATTTGTCTCCACACCAAAATTTCAGTTAAATTGGCATGAGTTGGGAAGCCTGTAGATTTTGAAGGCACTCTCTTTTCCAGGGGAAACTGGTTCTCTTTAAGGTTTTCCAAGCAGCTCTGTTCTCCGGCACTATGTTTAATTTAGGCTTAAACAACAGAGCAATAAGGTTTTCATCACTTCCTCTAGGGAGAGGTAGTGCTGTTCTCCGCTTTAACAGACTTCAGGATGAGGAAAAATTCTTTGTTATTTAGCCTTTACTCGGTTTACTCCCATTTCTTTGAGTAACAGCTGTATGCAAGGGGCTTTCACAAAAATATGCTCCTTACCTTGTATCCCTACAGCATATGTTAGAGTAACAGCTCATTATTTTTCCCATTTACACAAAATAGCTCTCTCCTAGCCATCGGGAGAGGCAACTCCATCGGGCCAATATGCTTTTATGGAGCTATACTTTCCTAGAACTGTTTCTACTGTTGCAGCTGGAGGCATGGGTAGTACTGTTACAGTCTAACAAAGACTGTTCCTTAGCATGCAAGAAAGCATTTGGTTTCTGATGAATTGCCATAGTGTTGTTTTGTTCTTGCAGGTTTTTGGGGGGAACTTTTGAAACAACAGGAGACTTTGCTTTCTACCATTGCCTCTAACGAGTCAATTCTTGAGGTAGAATTTCCTGTTGCCTGGGAATCAGGAGCTTCCTTTGTATGTATGCTGTTTGTGGTCCCCTGTTCTAGGCCTGCTGTAAATAAAATGACTTATTTTTAGAATATACCTGAACTCCACTGATTTCTCCTACGTGGGGACAGACAAGGCTCAAACTGCTCAGCCCAGGCACAATACTTGAGCCTGCTTCTCTTCTGCCTTACCTCCTGTCTTGTTTGTTCATACATGTACATCAATGTAAAATTCTCACAAGTCAGATTTTTCCACTCACAAACCAGCACAAATTCTGCTCCTCGCCTGGCAGAGATGTCAGTGGCTGTGCGAGATGCCTGGCTGGGGAGAACTGGATGCTTGTCCCTAGAAGACAGTGATTTGAAGGGAGGGCTGTGGGGGGATGCCCTGCAATGAATCCAGGTATCCTCCTTCAAGGAATTTTTCAGTGTTAGCAGCTGAGCCCATGGTTCTCAAGAGCTCCCTTGGAAATTTTTTAATCTGTGGGAATAATGCTTGAGAGATGCACCTATGTGGCTGAGCGGGAGTCCCTTCATGCAGTCACCCTCCTTGGAGGTATTCAAGATGAGGCTGGACAAGCACTTGTCAAGCTTGTCTGAGCCCAGTAACTTCCTGCCTGTGGCAGGGGACCGGACTTAATGATCTTACAGGTCCCTTCCAGTTCTATGAGTCTATCATTTAAGACCCCGTAGAGCCAGACTGGGTGAGGTATTGGAAAACCCAGTGCTGGACACAATCCTATCCTGGCCTCTCTGGAAGATGACCTGAAATGGCTTTTCTGCATTAGTGCTACCCTGGATGAGCCATCTTTTAGTCCTTTATCCATAAAGGGCCAAATTCTTCCCTGTTGTAATCCCCATGACTTCAGGGGTGATTTAGGCCTAATCATAGGGGTTATTGGAATTATTCTTCAAAAGGTCTGAGACCATTACAGACAGTACAGCCCTGTTGCTTGTAAGAACAGTTCAGGCTAATGTTGACTGTTGTTTCCTTACCAGAAAAATGACCCTCCTCATTGTGGGCCTGGATAATGCAGGAAAAACATCCCTGGTGACAGAAATACTGAGAGGTGAGGAACCAGCCATTACCATTCACTGGTGGGGTCTGTATTTCGGTTGGTTTTAGAGGCACTTAGATCACTTCAATGCAACAAGTCTCTTGTTCTTTGCAGACAACTTAGCCATGATTAAGGGCATGTGATTTTTGTGTACTTTCAGGTATTCTTTTCTATGCTGTACATCAGGCAGCACCACAGCAACCCTGTGAGGTCAAAGTCAGATCCTACCAGTGTCTTTGGGCCAGAATAGCTGGGTTCTTTCTTAGATAATTATGTAGGTGCTGCAAGTGGTCTGAGTCCAGCCTGGGGAATGCGGTCTCAGCCTATCCAACACACTCTCCATGTGGCGTTGGTGCCAAGCCATCTCAAACATCAGTAACTGGGTTACACAGGACATAGGCTCATAGGTTTAAGAAGAATATGGGATATGCTGGCGAATGGAGTCCTAATAGGTACTGGACTTAGACACCCACATTGAGCAGACATGCAGTGCTGAGGTATGCACTCAGCTTAAAGTCATGGTATATGATCTCTTGGAATATCTGCAGGTACCAGTGTCCTGGATTCCTGCCCAGTTACTTGACCGTTCTCAGATAACAGGGCCACACAACTGGGAGCAGGACAGAGATATTCACATGTCCCCTGGTGGAACCTCCCAGGTTTTAGGAGAGATCTGGGTGTTGGGGGAGGGTGCAATGAGCACCTAAAGTCCTGACACTGACCTAGACCCACTTACTGCTTGAATCCCCATGCTAAGGCAGGAAATAGATGTGAGACAAACATAGCCAGGAGGGAGTCTAAGGGACTTGCATGGCCCCCACTACTGTAGTATCAGAGGATCTCACAATCTGTAATGCACTTCTCTCTCACATTTATTCCCACTCCCACATGGTGTGAGGGGCTCAAGCGAGGTTACCAATTACACAAGAAATAAGGTCATGCCTAAAGAGCCTCTGTGGCACAGAGGGAGCAGCTATGTCTGTGTCTGTTGCAATCCCAGCTGAGGGCCTTAGCCACTGGCCATCCCTCTACTTTAAGTCCCTATTAAATAAGGCCCTGGGTATAAGACAACACCCCTGGACAGGGTAACTATGGTACACTTGGCATTTACCAAACTGGCCACTGTGTCCCCTTTAAATGAGAGCAGGAAGGTAGCTGGGTATTGCTACAATCCATACCTGGAGACAATGCTCAATGAGCGTTGGTTATTGTGAGGTGTTTTCCCTTTCTCCCTGCAGTGCTCCCCTGTGACTTGCTCCCCACAATGAAGCCAAACCAGACAGAACTGAGGGTGAACAGGTTTGAAGTCTCCCTGGTGGATCTGGCTGGTGGGCCACGGTTCCGGGGCACATGGCGCAATCACTACAGTGATGCTCATGGGGTTATCTTTGTTCTGGACTCCAGCGATGTGGCACGGATGGAAGAGGTCAGGAGGACCTTGTCCCGCGTTCTGAGTCACCCAAAGATTTCAGGGAAGCCCCTTTTATTGTAAGGCTGAGTTTTGCTGCATTTAAACTGCCTTTGCTATTGTATATCCAGGTGGGAACCCAGGGCAGTGTTGGGGATCATAGAGAAGTAGGGCTGGAAGGGACCTCTATAGGTCATTTAAGCCAGCCCCCTACCTGAGGCAGGATCATCCCTATCCAAACCATCCTAGATAGATTGCACAGGTGAAAGCCTGTTGCACCCCCATGAGCCCTGGGACCGCCAAGACCCCTATCAGGACCCCAGCGGACCCCCGAAGACCCCCAGCATAGCCAGGAGGTAAGCAGGGCCCGCAGTGGGAAGGAGCTAGCACAGCTTTGGGGCAGCTGAGAGGAGCTGAGGAGGGTAATGCCCCCCCCCGCCTCCTACTTTGCCCAGCCCCCCAGGGAGCCACATGCCTGGTGCCACCCAGTGCATGAGACAGGGGAAGCACTCACCTGTCCCCTTCTCCGGTGTGGAAGGGACGACCCCCCCCCCAGCCCCTCGAGAACGGTGCGCAGGCCCTACTGCACACGCACAGGGTTTAAAAGGGCCCACCAATGACAGAAGCCGCAGTTTGGCCCTGGCTCCAGAGCGAGATGCACAGGCAGGAGCCTGTTGTGACCCTGGGACCCCCAGGACCTCCATCAGGACCTCAGCGGACCCCCAATGACCCCCAGCATAGTGGGGAGGTAAGCGAGACCCGCAGTGGGAAGGAGCTAGCACAGCTGCGGGGCAGCTGAGAGGAGCCAAGGAAGGTCAGGCCCCCCCTGCCTCGGCTCCTACTTCACCCAGCCCTCCAGAGAGCCACGTGACCGGAGCCTTGCGAACAGAACATGCAAACAGGCACGCTCTTGGGCCAGCGCGCAAGTTAGCATGGCAGTTTGTGCAGGAGGGCATGCAGGAGGGGCATGAGGCCATAGGCGGCAAGCCCCAAGGGAACGGTTGGCACAGTAGTAGCCAAACTACTACCTGTGCAATGGTGGGTGGGATGCGTTGCACCCCAAGGTTCCCCCCTGAGGCTGGATCCCTCCCCTCTGGTACTTCCAAGGCCTCCACCCAGACAGAACCCAGGGTTCTGGCCTCCATTCAGATGGGGCCCCTGGCTCTTGGCTGTGGGGGCTGCCTACCATGACTCCAGGCACATGGGATCAGGAGCATTGCAATCTCCCCTTGTGAGGTTTGCTCCATATTGGAGTCTCTGGAATCTCAGATAGTGGAGCTCCAGACTGGTGCAGAGGCTGCGTGCTATCAGGGATGGCGAACAGGAGATTGACTCCTACTGCCAGGCCCTTCACCCCAGGAAAGAAGAGGGAAGACCTAGGTTGCCTGCCAGGACCAGGGAGGCTAAGAGGCACTCCCATACTGTCCAGCCAGGGGGCTGGACAAAGGTTATCTCCAGCCCCAAGGCTCATTGTACCAGGGTCACCACCCGCCCTGGATCTCTGCAACAGGTACAAACCTCTTACAGCACCAGTAGAGCCTGAAGAGCTGCCAGCTACTGCAAATGAGGAAGAAATGCAACCACACAGAAACACGACCATACAGAAATGAAACACAGAGTGGTCATTGTGGGAGACTCCCTCCTGAGGAGGACAGAGGGAGCAATCTGTGGCCCCGCCCCCTTAGCCCGGGAGGTCTACTGCCTCCCAGGAGCCCATATCCAGGATGTGACTGAGAGGATCCCAAAACGTATCCCGACCACTACCCTATGCTCCTTATCCATGTGGGCACAAATGACATGGCTTGGAGCAATCCCAGCCAGGTCATGAGTGGCTACAGGGCTCTGGGAGTTGGGGGTACAGGTGGGTTTTTTTTCCTTGATCCTTCTGGTTACAGGTCACGGGCTGAGCAAGGAGAGACAAATCAAGGCAGTTAACAGAAGACTGTGGCACTGGTGCCATTGTGAAGGCTTTGGCTTCTATGACCACAGTCCGCTCTTCATAGAGAGATGCAGTGGTCTGTTGGGAAGAGACAGCCTCCACCTCACTCCACTGAGGAAGAAGCTCTTCTCAGCCAGAATGGCTGACCTGCTCGACCAGGCTTTAAACTAAGCTCGCCAGGGGAAAGACATACTTACTTGCCTGTACACCAATGCTAGGAGTTCGGGGAATAAACAGGAGGAACTGTTCCTTATGCTAAACAAAAATTACTACAATCTCATAGGGATAATGGAGACCTGGTGGGACTCCTCTTATGACTGGACTACGGGTATAAATGGCTATACCCTGTACAGGAGAGATCATGCTGAAAAAAGAGGTGTGGGCATAGCTCTCTGTGTGAAGGAGAGCTACACATCCCTACAAGCTGATGTGATGGGCTAGCTGGCAGTGACCTAGCCCAGGGGTTTTGAAAGGGCAAAAGATGATTGGTGGACTTGGGATTCCCTTTCCTCACCAATCTGGTAATGATTTGGCCCAGGGGTTTTGAAGAGGTAAAAGATGATTGGAGGACTTGGGATTCCCTTGCCTCAACAATCAGGCCCCAGAGACTCACCCTCCATGTCCCCTGATTGGCCCTTGGGTCACCTGGAGGGGGATAAAAGGGGCAGCACGGCTGACTCAGGAGAGACCAGCGAGGGACCATGAGGAAGGAGCTTCAAAGAGTTGGCAAGAGCTGAGCCAGCCAGGTGGGAGCAGTTGCCCCAGAAGAGCCTGAAGGAGCGGGACCTGCAGGCAGCAGTTGGACCCTCAGCAGCATGGCCTGCAGCCGGCAGGAGAGGC